AGTAGCTGGGACTACAGGCATGCACCACCATGCCCGGCTAATTTTTTCTATATATATTTTTAGTTGTCCAGCTAATTTCTGTCTACTTTTTTAGTAGAGACGGGATCTTGCTCTTGCTCAGGCTGGTCTCGAATTCCTGAGCTCACATGATCTGCCCGCCTCGGCCTCCCAGAGTGCTATGATTACAGGCATAAGCCACTGTGCCCGGCCCTAAAAGTCAGTAGCATTTCTATATGCCAACAGTAAACAATCTGAAAAAGAAACCAAGAATGTAATCCCATTTACAATAGCTACAAATAAAATAAAATACCTGGGAATAAACTTAATCAAAGAAGTGAAAAATCTCTATAATGAAAACTATAAAACACTGATGAAAGAAGTTGAAGAGGACACAAAAAATGGAAAGATATTATATGCTCATGGATTGGAAGAATCAGTATTGTTAAAAGGTACATACTACCCAAAGCAATCCTTTATTTCTTTCTCTTATCTGACTGAACTAGCTAGAACTTCCAGTATTATGTTGAATAACAGTGGTGAAAGTGGGCGTCCTTGTCTTGTTCCAGATCTTAGAGGAGAGGCTTTCACTTTTTCCCCATTCAGTATGATACAAGCTGTGGGTCTGTCATATGTGGCTTTTATTGTGTTGAGGTAAGTTCCTTCTATGCCCAGTTTTTTTTCAGAGTTTTTACCATGAAGGGATGCTGGATTTTATCAAATGTTTTTTCAGTATCAATTGAAATGATCTTATGGTTTTTGTCCTTCACTCTGTCAATTCAATGTAATCCCCATCAAAATATCAATGATATTTTTCACAGAAATAGAAAAAATAATACTAAAATTTATATGGAACCACAAGACTCAAAATAGCCAAGGTATCCTGACAGAAAGAACAAAACTGGAGGAATCACATTATTTGACTTCGAATTATACTACAGAGCCGTAGTGACCAAAACAGCATGGTACTGGCATAAAAAACAGACACATAGGCCGGGCACGGTGGCTCATGCCTGTAATCCTAGCACTCTGGGAGGCCGAGGCGGGTGGATTGTTTGAGCTCAGGAGTTCGAGACCAGCCTGAGCAAGAGCGAGACCCCGTCTCTACTAAAAATAGAAAGAAATTACCTGGACAACTAAAAATATATATGTATAAAATTAGCCGGGCATGGTGGCGCATGCCTATAGTCCCAGCTACTCGGGAGGCTGAGGCAGTAGGATTGCTTGAGCCCAGGAGTCTGAGGTTGCTGTGAGCGAGGCTGATGCCACGGCACTCTAGCCCGGGCAACAGAGTGAGATTCTGTCTCAAAAAAAAAACAAAAAACAAAAAAAACAGACACATAGACAAATGGAACAGAATAGAGAACTCAGAAATAAATCGACATATGTATAGTGAACTTATCTTTGAAAAAGTCACCAAGAACATAGAGTGGGGAAAGGACAGTCTCTTCAAAAAATGGGGCTGGGAAAACTGGATATCCACAGGCAGAAGAATGAAATTAGATCCTTTTCTCTCACCGTATACAAAATCAAACCAAAATGGATTAAAGAGTTAAATCTAAGACCTGAAACTATGAAACTACTAAAAGAAAACATTGGGAAAACACTTCAGGACATTTGTCTGGGCAAGGACTTCATGAGTAACACCCCAAAAGCATAGGCAATCAAAGCAAAATTGGACAAATGGGATCACATCAAGCTAAAAAGCTTTTGCACAGCAAAGAAAACAATCAAAAAAGTGAAGAGACCACCCACAGAATGGGAGGAAATATTTTCAAACTACCTGTCTGACAAGGGATTAATAATTAGAATAAATAAGGAGGTAAAACAACTCACTGGGAAAAAATCAAATAATTCAATTAAAAAGTGGGCAAAGATCTGAAGAGACATTTCTCAAAAGAAGACATGCAAGTGACCAACAGGTATATGAAAAAATGCTCAGCCTCATTAGTTGTGGGAGAAATGCAAGTCAAAACTACAATGAGATGTCATCTAACCCCAGTTAAAATGGCTTTTATCAAAAAGATAGGCAATAACGAATAATGGTGAGGATGTGGAGAAAGGGGAGCCCTTGTACACTGTTGCTGGGAATGTAAGTTAGTGCAACCACCATGGAAAAGAATATAGAGGTTCCTCAAAAAACTAAAAATAGAACTATCATATGACCCAGCAATCCCACTGCTAGGTATATACACAAAGAATGGGAATTCAGTATATCGAAAAGATATCTGCACTCCCATGTTTATTGCAGCACTCTCCACAATAGCCAAGATATGAAATCAACCTAAGTGTCCATTAATGAATGAATGGATAAAGAAACTGTGGTACATATATACAATGGAATACTATACAGCTACAAAAAAGAATAAAATCCTGCCATTTGAAACAACATGGATGGAACTGGAGAAAGTTATGTTAAGTGAAATAAACCAAGCACAGAAAGACAAATCTTGCATGTTCTCACTTATATGAGGGAGCTAAATATTAAAAACAATTGATCTCATGGAGACAGACAGTAGAATGATGGTTACCAGAGTCTGGGAAGGGAAGCAAGGAGAGGGGATAAAGTGAGGATGGTTAATGGGTCCAAAAATATAGTTAGATAGAATGAACAATATTTGATAGCACAACAAAGTGACTATAATCAACAAGTTAGTGTATACTTTAAAATAACTAAAAGTAAAATTGGAACGTTCCTAATACAAATAAATATTAAATGTCTAAAGTGATGGATAGCCCAATTACCTTGATTTGATTAATTCACATTATATGCCTGTATCAAAACATCACATGTGTATAAAATATACAACTATTATGTAACCATAATAATTAAAAATAAAAAATTTTTCAAAAATAATAAAAAAAGGAGATCTGTGTGCCTCTGTTTTCCCTCTTGTATCCCTGCCACCACTGTGAGGACGAGCTTGGGCTAGCCTGCTGCAAGATGAGAAGCCCCAGGGAGCAGGGACAAGCCACCCCAGCGGAAGCCATCTCAGACACGCCAGCCCACAGCTGATGCCACAGGTGACAAAGATGGATGCGTGAGCCCAGCAGTGCCCTGAGGAACCACCCAGCTGAGCTCAGCTCAAATTGCCAACCTGTAGAACTGTGGGAGAAAGGAATGGTTGTGAGATTCAGACTAAATTTTGGGATGGTTTGTTACTTGGTACATGCCAACTGATCCAATACAAACCCAGAAATAAATTTTGTTTCTTTTTCCTCATGTTTCTAATGACCTGATCATTGTACCACATCTCTCTCAGAAGCTTGAACAAAGAAATTATTTATGAAAAAACCTAAACTGGTGAGTTTAGTTAGTATACCTAGTAAAATAAATAGAACGGAGGCAATCGAAATTGTTGGTGTGTACGTGCGTTCATAAAATCCCACAAAAACGTCCAATAGTCCACACCGCCATAGACAGCTGCAACCTGGCAGGATTGGAATCCCAGGGCTGCTTGCCCAGACTGTTCTCTGAGCCTTCTTTTGGCAAATAAATCTGCCATAATTTATTGAATTTAGAAAGAAAGTGGATTATTAGGATGTCACTGTGATAATCTTATGTCATTACAGGTACAAAAAATGACAGCTGGTCTCATGCCTTTTGAATATCCTTGTCTGAGCTCCACTTGGGCAGATTCAAAGCAACGAAAACTAGGAAAACCAGGCCCGGGGTGGATGCCTACTGTGCACTCTCAGATGTGTGCACAACTGAAACCTCTTCGCCCTCAGGTTCCTCCCTCAGGGGAATTGGATTTTATTCTAAATGCAAACAAGTAATTATTCCTAGTGTTGTCACATAGCTCCTTGAAATAGACTGAACTTCTATTGCATGTTTTATTTATAAGTGGAAAATCCTTAGGACACCAGCAAATACATTTACTTAACAACAATTGATTAAGCCACTGATGAAGTTGTCTTGCCGCACAATTACCATAGAAACTCGGCCCCATCCCAGATCCTACTGCTTTCCTGCTTCCAGACCCCCGTGCCAGGGTGGTGGCGCTCCCTTCCCTGTTAACTCCCTTCCGAGTTCCCCGGTGGGAAGCTCTGTCCTGTCTGGTTTACCCTGCGGGCACCAAGATGCCTCTTTCTCCTGCACCCTGGTCCTCTGCATCACTACCAGGAGGCCGGGCAAGGGACTTGCACACCTTTGTCACACAGCCACTGCATGCCACCCCAGGTGTCTGGGGACCCCTCCTCCGATACCTAAGCTCGACTGGGAAGATTCGGCCTCTGAGTCACTCCCTCCACCTCCGCCTCCTCCTGCTGGGACTTGCTCACAGCTTTGGCTGCCGGAATCTTCCTCAGGCCTCTCTGTTGCAATGGTTCGCTGAATGTTTTGATACCTTTCATTAGAAAACAGAGAGACAGGAGTTAACTTTCGTTTGTTTGCTTGTTGGGGGCCGATGCTCTGAATCAGAAAATTGGAGAAATCTGTAAAGAACTGTCTTGAGTGTCAGGGAAGAAATGCTTAAAATTCCCACAAGATAGCGACAACAATTAGCAAGGCAAGTATCTCTAGATGATTTGACTTCTTTTTGTTTTGTAAGCTATGATGAGTTTCAAGCATGGTGACTTTTAAAAAATCAACACAAATAATAGCTAAGCATGCAAAACAGCTTGTGCCCTGTATTAAACAAAATCGGGCTAAGTCTAAAATAAAGGTGTGGGAAGTAAATTAAAATGTTACAACTAAGGTATCAAATTACCTCTACGTTATTGTAATAAGTCTACAAACTGGAATAGTATTCTGTCACTTATTTTTATTTGACAGGTAATTGATACGGTTGGGCAGAGGTTGTGGAAATATTACACCTAAAAGCATGACGGCAAACAAATAAATGTTTTCTGCTTTTCTGAGGCTCATTTTATTTTTCTTCTGAAGTTGGAGATTTAGTCAGTGGGCCGGCCAGCTAGCCACCTTGCCAAGTACTGAATTCTTATCAACCCTTCCAGTGTGCACAGGCTCTGTGTGGGGCTTTCAGAACAAAGAGAGGATTTGAACACATAGCTGAGACGCAACAAAGGGGAATTGGTGCAGAAACCGTAACTCTAGCAACCTGAAAGGCTGTCGCGGACAAGGCAGAGATGTAGGGGGACACAGACAAGGAGGCTCCTAAGTTTTATAAACTTTGAAGTTGGAATATGACCTTGTCAGGGAGCTTGTTGGGAAAGAACATTTTCAGGAGAGAAACAACTTGTGCAAAAGCAGGGCACTAGTGAAGAGCCCTGAGGAGCTTGGTGGTGGCATCAGGACCTGTGGGTGCTGCGGGGAGACCAGCAGAGAGGGAGACAGGGAGTCCCTACAGGGCACCCAGCAACAGTCTGGATGTTATTCTCTGAGGTCACAGGTTCTTTGACCTGAGCTGCGGCAACCTGCAGGACTTGTTAAAACACACTAACTTGGTCTCTGATTCAGTGGGTCTGGGGTAGGACCCAAGAATCTGCATTTCTGAGAAGTTCCCAGGTGATCCTGATGCTGCTGGCCCAGGGACCCACTCTGAGAACCACTGGTCTCTGCGATAGGTAGCTGCTAAAACAGAGAGGCAGGGCCAGATGTACACTGAGAACGATCGCCTGGAGTCGCAGAGAGCAGCTGGGGGCTCCCGCAACAGTCCAGGCCAGAGATGCTACTGGCCTGGACCAGGCAGGCATGGTGGGCCAGGCTGCCTTTCCAAGCATCTGCCAGTGGCGGGGTAGCCACAGACTGCAGGGAAGAAGATCGGCTCTGCCTGCCGGCAGATACTCACAGACATTTCCTCAACCTGCCTGCCCTTGACAGCCTGCTCTACCTTCCCATTCAGGGGCAGACATCCAGCTCTCTAGCTCCCCTCTGCTCTGCTGCACTCCCTCCTTCCAAGCAGCCCCCATGTGCCCTCCCCAACGACCTCTGTTTGCCCATGTCTCTCGGCCTCCCCGATGACTAGATGACGGGGGGCCAGCTTCCCTCTTCCTCACACAGCCTGGAAGAAAGACAGGGCTGAATTCAGGAGCTATTTAGCGGCAGAATTTGTGATAACTTTACAGACTCGTGGGGATTTGGGACCTAACTGGATAGGGAGGTTGATGAAGAGGGAGGAGACCATTATGAAGTTCAAGGTTTCTACTGAGACCAGATAGGCAGAGCTGCCGACCCTGAAGAAGAGCAGGTAGAAGGTGGGCAGATGAGTAGGGCAGGTGCTGGTGTGGGTTTGGACGTGCTGACCTGCAGGTCCCGAAGGTCATGTGAGCCCCATTGTACAGGAGAATTATATGGGTCTGGTGCCCAGGAAAGCAAGGGCAGGGTGGGGCGGGGAAGGAGTAGGAGGGCAAGAGTCCAAGCAGCAGGGAATAGCCAGGTCTCCAAGTGCAACCTAAGAGGGGACAAGGAGATGCAGTGTGGCATAGGTGAGGTTCCCCTGCGGCAGGGCTTCCACAGACCAGCACCCCATTCTTTCCTTGACCTAACAGAGGAAGGTTTTCTCAGCGAGGTCTCCAGACCGTTTACAAGAGAATCATCAAAATGATTGTTAAAATTATAGAAACTGAAGCAACACTGAAAGCTACATGTCTGACGAGTCCTTTAGGTCGTACTGCATATGTCTAGGCTTGAGACGCTGAGGGCTGTCTGTCAGTTTGGCTTTATCTGGACACTGCCAGAAGCAGTGACTGGGAGGCATTTCCTGAGTGGGCCTCTGACCACGAAATGGGGAAGGGGGCGGGATGAGTGGAGTGAGGATGGAATTGCAGAGGGAAATACTTGTGTTAATTTGCCACCTCGGCAGCTCTGTGGTAAGGAGGTTGTGGAGAAGGTGGAGGTGGCCCTCTGTGATCTCCCTCCTGGAATGTGGGTAATGGCCATGGCAGGAGGGCAGGGGCACCATTGAGAAGCTGCCTAGCATGTAACCTTGACTGGGGAGGAACAGGGCCTGCCAAAGACCAAGGAAGCTGCTACTGGGAGGATTCCCTAAATGATGTACGGCAGATTGCATTTTCCCAAAGTGTCTTGACTAACCCTTTTAGATCTACGTGTTCTTCCAGAAGCTTATCACTCTCCTTCTAAGAGGCAGAATCCATGTTTTCACCCCTTGGGCCTGGGAAGGTCTGAGATACCTGAGAGACAGCTGCCTAGCTGGCCCCAGCCAAACCAGACCCATGAGAAATAGTGATAATTATAATAATAAATGATTGTTGTTTTACGCCACTATGTTTGGGGTAGTTTGTTCCTCAGCAATGGATACCAGGAACAGGACTTAGATACATATGAAAATGTCGAGTTGTAGCCTTTCTTTTCCTTCCAAAGTGCAGTGACCATGACAGAGAATTTTTATCTTAACTGACGATGAAAATGTCAGTAATGTCCCAAGATAATTCACATTCTTCAGGTGGGCCTTGATATTTCATGCCTTCCTGAGTCAGCAGCCTGCAATCCCAGGTGTCCCCCACCCCGGATCTTTGCTAAAGGGCAGGAGCTGTTTGGGGAGGCAGGACACACAGTGCTTGGAGGAGGGACCTCTCAGCGAGGGCAGGACTGTGGTCTCAGGGCCTCACCCTGCTTTAAAGAGGAGAGAGAAGGTCAGAAAGCCAGCTCTCTTCTATTCCATCAAGAATTATCCATCAATGTCTGCCCGTACTTTTTTTTTGGTAGTAAAAGGGTAAATATTTATAGCATATAAAGGGTTCATGGAAATTAGTAAGAAAATCAGCTAGAATACCTAATTTGTAAATGGACACACACACACACACACACACACAGTCACAAAACCAAACAAGGACAAAAAAAAAACCCTTCCAAAACCAAGCCAAACCACCCAACCAAACAGAATAACAAAAAAAGCCCAAGAACAGACAATTCACATGGGAGAAACTACGATTACTAAAGAAAAGCTTATGGAAAAAGAGTTGATCCACAAGTATTATAAAATATAAGTGGCACCAAACTACTTGGAGCACCTCTTAAATCGCAAAAACAAATCAAAAGAGGAGATGGAGGTGAAGGTGTTGGTGTTGGTGTTGGTGAGCCCGGAGAACCACAATGCCTAACAGAAAACAGTCAGGCATTAATATCAAATACCCAAACCACGTGTATCTCTTTTGGGAACGGAACCCTAAAAAAATATAAGACAAAGTCTTACAAATGGAGTGATACAGGTCCTTGGTGTTTGTACCGAAAATGGTTTTAAAAGCTATAAGCAAATCATTCAACAGCATGAGAAATTAAGTTAACCAAAATACAGCCATTCAACGGAATACTATACATGCATTTAAATGTTAATCTGAAGACTATGCAGCAATATGACAATGCTTACAGTGTAGTAAGTAAAAAATGAATGTGAAACTAACTATATATTACCATTATAACTATGTACAAATTATGTACGCATATGGAAATTGAAGAGGGGTATATTTTTTTAAAGAGCTAAATCCTTGAGGTAGTAAGACTGTATGTAGATCACTTTTTTCCTATTTAAAACTTCTATTTCCCTTAATATTATAATAATTTTATACAAATAACTAAAAAAATAAATTTTAGTTGATTATTTAAAATAAGAATACATGTGTATATTTTACGCTTGATCAATAAATATTTGTGAAAGTAGAATTAATTGCTTCTGGATATTCTGAAAGTATAGGTGTTAACTCAGGAAACAATCTTGTACTGAGTCCTGCTAAACTTCTAGCATCACACCAGGTGCTGGCAGGGAGAGGGGTGCAAAGAAGAAGAAGTTAAGAACTGTAACGGAGGCACATTCATGCGGTTTGGGGCAGGAGGCTCTGGGTGGAGGATTCTGGGAAGGCATCATGGGTACATGACGTTCGAGCTAGGCCTATAGGATGAGGAGCTGTGTTCCAGGTGGGAGCAGGCAGCGAGGGACTGCCCTGCAGTGGGAGCACCTGGCCAGGCCACAAAGGCGTGGCAGAGTGTGTGGTGTTTGGGGGGTGGCCGACTTTGAACATGGTCCCTCCAGCCTGGCACAACAGCTTACACGTTGCTATTGTGCACTCTGCATTTCAGCGTACGTCTCCTTACACAAATACGTTTGATCTTTTTTTTTTTTTTAACCCAGTCAAATTTAGCAGTGGCTAGACTCAAGGGAAACTTCTTGCAACGCTGAGAAATATTTCCCTATTTCTGTGAGCCAGTGATCATTGTAAATTTCTCCCGATAACTGCAGGTTATCAAAAAGTGACCCTTGTGTGTGGTGTCATGGGAGACAGATAAAAGGCTGGTAGTCCACTTTCTGTGGCTGCTGTTACCATGTCAAATCACAGAAAACTTTAAATGCCTGAAAGCAATAGGTCAAGGTAAGTGTTGAAAAGCCTGGATACTTATCTGAACCTTACCTGACCTTCCCTAAGTAGGCTTTTTCACAAGAAATAAGTACTTTCTAAAATGCTAAATTCCTTTTCTTTTTATCTGTCCAGATGGATGTGACAAAAGCAACTTCCTACTCGGCAAAGTCCAGCTGCCTCTGCCAGCGTGTTCAGCTCCACTGGAGGGCACAGGAATTTACATATCAAAGGCTGCACAACTGCTTTAGAGGCCTGGTTCCAGGTGGATTTGGCATAATTTTTATATTATACAAGCTGACCACCACCATGAACTTTCATGGATATTTAGGCCATAGGTCAAGGTCCTTCTGCTTCAGAGCTAACCAGCAACACGTCGTAGATACAGCTGGATGATCCTCTCCCCTGTTCTCAGTCTGCTCAGTCTCAGTTTCAGCGCATCTGTTCTGGCAAGACAGACCTAGAAGCTAATTTGTGCCTACGGAATCACAACAGGATGTCTGTGTAAAATGAGCAGCTGTGGCCTTTACATTTTCAGTTATTTGAGTTTTGTCGCAATCACCATGAAAGGTCTTTCCCATGGATTTTTGGTGCGTTCATGTCTAAAAAAACTGGGTTATCAAAAGTTCTTCCTTGTAATATGCTTGTTTTGGTGGCAATGTTTGTAGAGAAGTATGCTACCGATGAAAAGTCCTTTATGGTTCTCGTTAATGACTTAAACACAGCTGCTGACAGGGGAAAAATGGAGAGCAAATGCCTTCCAAATGTTCAAGTAATAAAAGCATGTTCTGATGATTTTCACCGAAAGCATGCTTCTCTGTGTACAACAGTAACCAGAAATTCAATTTTTTGTTTCCATGTGCTTTTAATAGGACTAAATTGTCCACTTTTTTTTCCTGGCTGGTACAGTTAAGTTTCAAAGGTGTTTTCTATCAATAGGTGTGTTCCCCAGACCCAGTTCTTTCTTCATTTTAATCCCTCGCAACCTTTCCTTCATCTTCATACTGACACAAAAACAAGATGGCATGTGGGTGCAGTTACAACTGAAGTAAGTCTCAGTCTGCATTCCTGGCAACTAAAAGTATCCCGAAGCCACCGCCCTGGTCTTAAAGAACAAGATGTCAGACACGATGCTTTATACTAGCGTAAAGCATGGGCGGTAGGCTGTTTGGGACTTCATTAGCAGGTTGAAAAACAAAACGACACCTTTGCAAGTTCAATATGAGGGTCTAGTTTTTAAATGAAACGGTTCTCAGAAAAATGTTTTTAAGCATTTCTTTTTCGAAGATGAAGGCTTTTTAAGAATTATTATTTATGAGCATATAGCAATTATGGGACCAGGGTAGAAATGCACATGGTGATTTATGGGACAGTTTTTTCTCCAGGCAGCGTTTAGTATTCTTATGAAACCTAGCCTTGCAATGTTCTTAACTGTTTGAGTTCTGTACCCTTTTGAGCATCTCATGATGGATAGGGACTAGTCTGCCAGAAAAATGTGCATACATGTATAAATTTGCATATAATGTCTGGAGGGTTCATGGAACACTGACTTCCTTGGTGAATATCTTTGGGGGGGGATGGGTCCATGGGCCCTGCTTAAGAATTCCTGTTTTTCAGCCTGGGCCATTAAGAAATTAAGAGGATTTCCCATCTCTAAATGACAATCAAACTTAACTTGTCTCTTGTCACCAAATTCTAAATCTAGCTTTCCAAGTACCTACTATGAATGAGTTTCTTAAGATACTTAATTATTTTCCAGTCTCCTCATACAATCTGAGCAGAAAAATGCAAAAGAAGTCCCTTTAGCTGCTGCTCTCCTTTCACTGTGGCTAGAGGAGCTCATTGCAGACTGATCACCAACCGCCTGTTGAGTTGCTCCATCTGCTGGATGGACCCCGATCTCCGCATCCCATCCGGGGTGGCTGCTGCAGTTGGACGCTGCCAGGTGGTTGTGCGGTTCACGTGGTCCACATAAAAGACCCGCCCATGGCTGTCAATTCGAGCTTCCCAGTCTAGTGTTTAATAAAAAGGCAAAAAGAAAAATCAAGGACAAACTACTGACCCATATGAAACACATACCACTCCCAGGTCTTCTGCAGGTAGAACTCACCATTGGTTTGTGGCTGAAGGCCACTGTCCACAGCACCTGCCATGGCTTCTGGGGCATTGGCATGGAATCAGGCATTCCGGAAAAGAGCTTAATGAACTTAGATTCTCTGCTGGGCCATTTTAATTTTTTAAAATTCACTTGTATTGTTACTGTTCTGTTGGCCAGGCTAGAGTGCAATAGCACAATCACAGCTCATTATAACCTTGAGCTCCTGGGCACAAGGGAGTCTCCTGCCTCAGCTTCCTGAGTAGCTAGTGCTACAGATGCATGCCACTGTGTCCAGCTAATTTTTAAATATTTTTTGTAGATATAGGACTCTCACTATGTTGCCCACGCTGTTCTCAAACTCCTGGCCTGAAGTGATTCTCCTAACTCAGCCTCCCAATGTGTTGGGATTACAGATGTGAGCCGCCATGCAGGATCTTCTAGGCCATTTTAAGCAGTAAATGTGGTTCCCTGACCATGACCTAAGTTAAAATTCTAATAATTTCTAATGAGTATAATGCTTAATTAATTTATTTCTTAAAAAATTTCCATCCTCTCTGTGAATCTTGTTGGCTACTCAAGTGACAGCTGCGGAAGATGGAAAACACCCTCCAGTGGGGGCTGACACTGTGATGCTGGAGATTCTTCTCTTTGCCAAATCGAACAGAGGGTGACTAGGTTCAGTGGAAGGAATAATGGCCCTTGTATTAAAACCAGTGTTACCTACACTCCTAAAATACTGTACCTGCTACTTTAGACGACCTCTGACAGTCAGCAAGCTTAATCAAGTGCCATTCCTCTTGAGAGGGCGAGTGGAAAGGTTTGATATCTAAGGTTTCACAACATCCTTTTGCCAGGTGGTAAATTAATAGTACATCGTCAACCTACCTGTGGCTGCCAAGTATCTCTGACCAAAACCAAACCAAACCAGTAACAACTATGAAATACCCCTTTGTTGATAAATCACCATCCCAAACAGTAGAGGGAGCCCAAGATAAAGAAGAGCTCAGTTCCTTTGCTTCCCAAATTAGAAACATAACAAAACAAAACCAAAAACTAAAAGGTGGAAGCATAGATGATACACTACATCATACATGTAGGGGCTCAGGTGGGGTGAGGTGGATGGAAAAGCCCTCGAAACCGAAAGTGCTGGAAGTAATGTGTTCATGTCTGAGCTTCACGTAGAAGAGCAATGTCTGCTGTGCAGAAACGGGCAAAGCTTTCAGAGTCCACACGTCAAATTGTGATGGAAATAGCAGCGGCGTGATTAAAATTATGCTGAGGATGCATTAGCCTAAAGAAGAAAAAGCAGAAATGACTGCAGAGGGAGGGAAACTATTCAGCCTTTTAAGAGAGAAAAGCCATAGCTTTTGGGAGTAGGTCAGGTATTAACAATTCTGTTGAAAACTTATCATTCAGGTAATGACATAGCAACTCTCAATTTTTTTCAATGAAAAAATATATTTGGCATATTTATGTTTTTATATGTACATGGTATATCTGTTTGTGAACATTACGTTGACCTGAGGGATTGCTGAATATTGCCCGATGAAAACCAAAATACCAGGAAACACCAAATTTAGCTTATAAGACAAATTGAAGGAAAAATGTAGGCAGTTTGTATTAATAAGTTCTAGGAGATTTTGAATAAAATTAACTATTAGATAATGCAGCTGTCAAGTATTAGTTGTAAATGGTAATTAGCTCATTGATAAAATTGTGTGTACGTGTGATTACTAGGTAATTAATCTTTGATCCAAATATTTTTAATTTTAATGGGTCACAAACTAATATTAGCAAAAGCAATTGGACAATTCTTCTTCTTGAATCCAACATGACTGTCATCCAACAGAGAATGAGCATTAATCTTTGAAGAGCATCGTGCTATTTAAGTCAACTGAAAAAACTCCGTTTAGCACTCACCATGAACTAGAAACTATGCCAGGTCCTGAGGACACAGAGCTGAGTGACACATGTCCCTGCCCTCCAGGCACCCACAGTAAAGGAAGGATTCCTTCACAGACAAAGCTTGGGTCTCATATATTAAGGAGAAAAACTAGAAAATGAAGTAGCAATAATGATAATTTATCACCACAAGTTTCAAGATTTCCAAATCAGTCATGGAAAAAGGTGATAAGCTGGACAGATGATTTTTTTTATCAATATATTAAATATCTGGAATGCATAGTGCTAATGACATACTCATAAATAGTGAGAAAAATAATAGCGAAGTGTAGTTAGAAATTATGAGTATGGTTTCCGGGTTGTTTTGTAAAGAATTTACTTTCACATATTTTATAACCAAGGAAAAAAATTCCAAACGAAACTGCAGGCCTCAGCAAGACTTGGAGGGCTCAGCACTGTGATGCCATGAGTTTGACTAAAGGGACACCTGAAAACACACCTCTATGATGCTGGGACAGGTTATGGTAGTACAGGTCAGGTCAGTTCATTTGTGACTGAAGGACCTATAGAATACTAAATTACATGTTTTTCACAAAGCCTAGGAACAATGTAGAGCCTAATAATATGTCATCTTTAGTTGTTATATTAACAAAAACCTGTCAAATTGTACATTAAAAAAATTTTAACAAATGCAATACCATATTTACGGTCTAGACCTTTCTCTTAAACTTTGGAGCCACACATCCAGTTGCCTCATTGATATCACTGTCTGCACGACATTGCAAGCACAACATGATCCAAATTAAGCTTCAGACCTTTCCCACCAAAACCTGCTCTACCTGCAGCCTTCTCTTCCCATCTCAGTTGAAGGCAACTGTATCCTTCTAGGTTAAAACTCTTAGGCCATTCTTGACTGCTGTCTTTCTCTCACATCCATACCTAATCTGTCATCAAATCAGGGACTCAGACCACTCCTCCCCACCTCTGCTGCTCCCCTGTTTGTCCAAGCCTCCATCCTTTCTCACCCGGGTCGCTGTCACCTTATGGACGCAATCTTGTGTTGGAACTCATGCTTCCATTCTTTCTCCTCACAATTTATTCCATACATTGCAGCCAGGGAAAACTTCTCAAAACCTAAGTCAGACAATATCATATCTATGCTCAAAACCCTACAATGTCCCCCTTTCATCCAGAGTAAAAGCCGAAGCCCTTAGTGGTTTCTGAGGCCCTTTGTGATCTGGGGTCCACTAGCTCCCTGACCCCGTTACCTGCTGCTTTCTCCCTCCTTCAGTCTGCTCCAGACGCACTGGTCTCCTGTTACTTAAACCCACCAGCGTGTTTCCACCTGGGGAGTGGCAGTGGCCATTCCCTTTGCCTGCAAAGCTCTTCCTCCCCGACACTTGCAGAGATAACTCCCTTATCTCCTTGGTGTTGTCTTCTCAGTGAAGCCTACCACTAGGCTTAAAACCACTCCGGTTAAAATTGCAAACCAGTCACCAGCACATATTCAGAGACTCCTCAGCCTGGTCTACTCTCACTTTTCCATAGCACGTATCACCATCTTATATGCTACGCTAGTACCTTTTTATTATTTTATTATGTGTTATCTGTCTCCCAGACTAGACTGTAAGCTCCATGAGGGTGGGGATCTTTGTCTGTTTTCCTTACCAACAACAGTACCTAGCACAAAGTCAGCATTCAATAAACATTTGTTGAATGAATGACTATCAGCAATGAAGTCATTCAGGCACTATTTGAGATTATCTAAGAATATTCAGTTGGTAGAATTCTCTAACAACTTTTCTAATATTTTTCAATGTTTCATGGATAGAAAATTAAAACCTATCTGGAGAAATTTGCTTTCATTACTGAAAGCAGCTTACATAAGGTAATTCTTTTAAAATGGATTTATATTCAATTATTTATAATATCTGCATGTAAAACTAGTTATTACTATTGCATAGGTTCTACGTCAATTCATGCATATATGCATTTAAAGGTTTTGTTGTGGAGAAAGTATCTTTTTTCTAGAGAGAATATTTTATAGATATTTTTAAGATAATTACCAAGTAGGAGGTATTTATAGTGACACTGAAATTTTACTATTCATTTATGGAATGTCCGTAAATTAGTGTATAAAGAAAGAAAGAAATCAGGCAACAAAAATTAAAGGACATAATGTTTGGCGTGGCCCCTGGAAAACAAATATCGTGTTCCTTTATGTAGTCCACATATTAAAGATGTTTCTTGTTCTCTCACTGATAAATTATAATTGAATAGGGAGAAGAATGGTATTTGTGCAAAATACATCACGATACCAAGAAAAGATGAATTAAGAAATAAGCACTTCTCCTTTTGAAACTGTAACTGCTTAAGGGAAGCACAGGCAAAAGAATATAGAGAAACTCTGGTTCTTGCATTCTGAAAGATTTTGCAGTTGTAAAATCTATCAAATATTAAAGATTATCTTTGCTTGAAAAATAAGCCTAAATCAAAACAGAGATGTTCTAGAATTCATGAATATTTGTGATGGTAAATGAATACATAATGTCTGGGGTGTTAGTTCCATCTTATAAATTTATTAAATAGAGTATTATAAGCTTAGAGTTCAAATGATATGTAGAGACTACCTAGTTCAAACTTTGCATTTAGCAGATGAAGACATTCAAACTTTGTTTTACAAATGAGAAAACTAAGTCTCTGAGAGATTAAATGAATTTCCAAGTTCAGATGACTAGGTAGATAATTATTAATTACATACTACAGTTACCAGGAGAAAATGGTATTGAATTCTAACCTGAAGAGGATATTTTCCCTGGCAACCTCTAAGAACTGCGGAAGAAATCTGGAAATGTTACCTATGCGTGTAAGTTATAGTAGGGAAAGTGCAAGTTCATGTGCCCTGAGGGGTTGAAGTTGTCTTATTATAGGGAGATGCTTGTGACATAACAAAGCCAGTGGAAACAATAGGATTATTCTATTTGAACTGCAAATTTTAAATATAAAAGAATAAAATTTGGGACTTAAAGGTCATGAACCGTTTGCAAGGACTAGTCAAGTCTTGTAAAGAAACATTCTTTGGGTCAGAAGTGGAGGGACACTGAAAACACTGGGTTATCTTTTCAAGATCACATGCTGAAACAACTAGTCAAAGAAAACAAAAACAAAAACAAACCAACACCAGGTTTTACAGTAGGTGCCATATTGGTTTTGATAACAGCAGCAGTTGCGGAGTTGGGGAAGAGTTTAGATGCTTAGGCACAAATTCATACTGACCTGTTTAGACTTGATAGGAAGAGTTAAGACATAGGTTTTAAAAACTAAAGCTTACTTGGTGGAAGAGGCTCATCGATTGTTGGGTAGTGATGATGTTCAGGCCTCAAGGAAGGAAGCTGGCTTACTGGCTGGGAATTATGGAGTATAGGACATTCACCTACGGACAAGATAGTCAAGACATTCAGATTCATTCATTGTTGTGGCAACGTCATCAAAAAAGCATGATTGTAAAGCTAACTACTACAAGAAATAACCCGTAAAGAATGGGCAATCTATTTTTTTGTGTCAGTTTGCTACATGTCACAGTCACTCTTAAGAGAGGGAATTATTGGGGAAAAAAAAAAAAAAGAAAAGTCTAAATACTTCATGACTAATGATTGTGCCACAGTTCAATATGCAGGATCCAAGTCTGATTGTGTAATGACTTGAATTTTCTTGATCGGAAGGTGGCATCAGAAAGGAACACAAGAGAAAATTAGCAGAGCCTGATTTTAGTCCAGTGAAGGAAACAGGTCTGTTCGAGGGAAGTGGAGCATTTATAAGGTCCCATAAAACCTTGGTGGGCTTGTGCAAAATTACATCTCTTCATTTGGATAAGTTTCATTAGAAGGCTGTCTGCCCAGAGGCTGTTTCTCAGATCTTACGTGGAATGAAATTCTCAGATGGTGCCTTTCCAAGACAGGTCGGGGAGCTGGTGGACTGAGAGGGCAAATTTCTGCCGTAGGGCAGCTAGGGGTTAGTGGCTGGGGGGAGCCAGGGTGCTGTGGGATCTCGGGACTGTTCCAGATTATTTGGGGGAGGAATCAGACAAGCCAGGGTGCTCTGGAAAGAGGAAAGGACAAGAGACAAAGGAAGTAGATAAAAAGCAGGAAGACTGAGACAGGAAAGCTCAAAACACACAAGTGGGATAGAAGGAGAAAGAAAGACAAACACGAAGAAATTTTAGAAATAAACATTATACCCACAGAATGCATGTCTCAGATTACTATAGACATAGCTTAGATTGTGTCAATTCAGACATAATGAGCTGAACAGTGTCATAAAATGGTGGTCCTACTTCATGACATCCTCAGGCGTGTAGAGTGGCCATGTGGTTAGGAGGCCTGCAGTGCCAGCTGTTTGGGTCACATAATCATAGGCCATTGCTCTTGCTCTTTGGAGAGCTAGAAGGGCCCACGACGAAGGACAGCCTCCACTCAGCCTGGTTTCTCCTGCCTCACACCAAGCTGGTTTTCTTGCAATAGCCCCTACTGGCCAGAGAACAAAGGTCAGGCCTTTTCTTTCCTCCGCCCTCCATGGCTAATGTAAATAGCAAGTGTTCCATTATCCCTCTGCTCAAAAAGAAACAGATTGTGAAAAATGGTGGTTGAGATCTTTGTAGGCTCTCAAATGCTGAATATTTCCCAGAATTTCCATACATGGGAAGGATGATTATTTCTTTTAATTCTAGTTCCACAGAACCAACTGAAAATAAAAGTAAATTAATTAGGAAGAAATTTAGGTGGGTTTAATTTAGTGGTTTAATCCCTAGAGCTAAATGGCAAAAGAAAATAGAGATATGTTCAGAAACAAAGGATCTTTTTAAATGTTAAATACGTAATGGTGTTTCTTGTGCAAATTCTGGTCTGTTACTCTAATCCTCTGGGTCCTCAGAGACTCTAATGGAAATCAAGGAAGGTGCCCTCAAGCCAGCACCCAGTTCAGCGGGGATGGACTGCTGTTTCAAAAATGGGTTCTGTGTTTAAGTGGATACCACACTCATGTTTGTTTTTATATGTGTTTAGTGTCAGAAATTAAAACAATGGTACAGTTGTTATGTCATCAGCTGCTGCATTTTTAATTTAGTTTCTTTAAAAACAACAACAAACTTACCTCTTATAATTAATTCAACCAATCAGGTTAATTACTCCTCCAAGCTAGTGGACATACAACATTGTCGACTGCCTGTGGTTAATGGAGCTGATCCCACCTGCTTGCGAACCCCAAGCAAATGCAATGGTGTGACCGCCATATCTCAGCCAGTTGAATGGATTGAATGCACTGAAGAAGCAAGCGGCTGTGTTCTGCACAGGGACTCGGTTCCACACAGTCACCCTCGCCTCAAACACAAAGCAAGCGTTCAAACCCACCAGAGCCTCTGAGAAGGAAACCTCTTCCTCAGGTAAAAATACCGTAGGTCCTTTTAATTCTGTTTTGCTTATAAATAATGTGATCGAATTGTAGGGAAAGATAGGCTGCCTAGAACATTATTTGTAGCAAAGTGATTTATACCTAATAATGTGAAAATTTTCCTGGAATCACAAAGTAGAGGAAGTGTAAATTCAAAGGATTGTTTTAGATGCTTTACATAACATGACTTTAAAAGTTAGCCTCGCTGTTTATCTGCCTGGAGTATTCCTCACTAGGTGAGAGGCAGAGTGTTTTTACAGCATATCATCTCATTTACTTGTTCCGGTAACCTTTTTTGGTACAGTCTATAATTATACGCATTTTGCACAGGAGGAAACTGAGGCACAGAGCATTTGGGCAACTTGGTGAGGAAGTGGCAGGACTGAATATAAATCCAGGACACCTGCCTCCAGGGCCTAAGCTCACAGCCACAATGTCGTATTGCTCTTTTCATTCAGCTGCGGAAGGCTTTTTAAGAACTATTTTAAATCAAACTTTTAAAAAAGGAGGTTTTTATAGAGGGAAAAGAAGCAAAAAGTAGATAAAGAATACTAGCTCGTATGCTTGTGTAGCTGTCGGTTGAGACTCATAACAGTGTTCCATAAATTGCTGCAGACTCGTCTCTGTGGGTCTGCGTGCAGTAAATCCACCTGACCCACTGCAGTTTCTACAGTAAAAGAATTCACACTCTCAGAAGTGACGGCAAAGGGACAATGGTGATACTTGTGGAAGCAGAGGGCACCCACCCGTGGATGATCGGGCAGGTTGTGCCGAAGCCCCGCTTTCTTTGAGCATCTGCTCTTGTGAAGCCTGGGGCTGAGTGTGGGACACACCCACAACCCAGACACCGTTGCTCCGAGACTCACTACCGAGGCGGGGAAGACTGGCTGTGCACAAGTCCGTGCCAATGTATGCACGGCCTCCACGAGATCAATAGTCCTTCTCAGAAATCTTCGTGCTTCCCTTTGTAACCACCACAGTGAGGCATACAGGTGCTTCGCAACCTTTTCTGAGTTTATCCTCTGCAGGATTCAGGAATTTAGAAATTTCTTTAGGAACTGTCACGTGAAGACTTCCACTATGGCCCTGAAACACTTTCCTGCTCTTCTCCCTGCTGAATTGTTAGCCCCTCAAGGGCATGGATAGTGTCTTTTGAAAAATAAAACATTCTTTTACACATATTTATACTGAGCCAATTTTTAATGAACCATGTATGGACTATCTCCCAGCATGGGGGCCAAAAGACAGTATAGGCTAAAACAGGGTTGTATGGCTCTGAGCTAAGAAGATTGTTATTTGTGTGTTATTATATTTTTAAATGTAAAAAAAGCCTTTTGATGACAAGACACTTGATTTTGCCTCTTGATCCACAAAGCCTAAAATATTTACTATCTGGCCCTTTATAGAAAAAATTTGCTGATTTCTGGCCTAAAACAACCCTGCCAGCTCCTGTATGTGTGCTTTTATGTGGGAATTCCCAAATCTCCTTAAATTGTATTATTTTTAATCATGTAATAATTACTTCCATAGCCCAGCACACCGCATCTGGCTTAGAACAAAGAAGGTCCTAAAAACATCCTCGTTAAAGGAATGTTCCATCCCCTTCTCCTCGTGGAAGGAACTCTCCATCCCACTCCTCTTGGTGTCCTTCCACACTGTCACCACGGTTTATCTTTCTCCCTGCCTTTCTTTCTCTACCATTTTCCTCATGCTTCTCCTATCACATGGGCCACCTTCTCTCGCTCTTTCTTTCTCTGAAATGTAGAATTGGGCACTGTTGAATACTTAATTTTTTTTTTTTTATGCTCAGTATAGTTCCTGTTCAAAAAAAATTGTAGGTGCCAGGCATTTGTTTAGATGCTGAGAATTCGAACATAAAGAAGACACAATTCTGGCCCTCAGTGAGCTTACAATCTGGAGAGAATACCACTCCCTTTTTTTTGGAGGCTAATTTAAACAGCAGAACAGCAAAGTAGCAGAGGCTATATTTTTCTCTTTTCAAACAACTGAATTATTTTTTTCTCCCTATGCCACTGTGACTTGACTGGAAGATGGTTTCCAACCCTGGATAAGGAAATGCAAATTAATTTAACATAGGATTCCACAGGCATGACTAAGAAGGAGCATCTTCGGTTAAAACACAGAATACATTTTAGAACTAAAGGTGGCAGCTTTTGGGTTAGAATCTCATTTGAAACAAAGTGATTTACACATTCATGTTATTCTTCCCTTCCATTAGCCAAAATAGCCAAAAACAACAACAAGAACAAAACAAAACCAACAATAATAACGAGAATTGAGCAGACAGAAATAATGACAAATACATGTAGGCTATACATATATATACATACATGGGCTAGTTGAATTCTAAAACAGAGGTAAAATCTGTGTTCTTCAACTAGTATTAACATTTACTGCTAATCTTCAATGTGTTTTGGAAGTCACCAGATGTTTACACATTATCCGCCTAATGTTGATGAAAGATTATTTCCTGCTTATATCATCTGATACTAGTCTTGGGGCTCTGGTTGCTGTCAAGACTAGAAGGATAACATGTGCACTAACCAGTTCTGGTGATTAAACAAACAGAGAAGCACACATACAAGTGCACGCTCACATCCAGCTAGTTGTAATTCTTGGTGTGTATCCGAGACATGGTGGGGTGTCAGCTATTCACAGTCATCTATACGCATATACACAGATACACACGCACACATATATGTACAAGACAGGCATACATTGCCCCAGCAAAGCCATTTGAGACTGATCCCCCGCCCCCCTCTTGTTTTTAAACATGTTGGTGAGACCTGTGTCCCCCTGGTGGTCCTATTCTCACTCTGACCAGGTTTGAGGTCTAACCTTCTCTCCGAGTGCTTGGACCTGCCACGGGGGATTCCAGACCTTCAGTGGTTCCTGCCACGTGCCCGCCAGGGGCGACCAGCTCATCTTGCCACGGCCCAGCGCCGTTCGCGGACTCTGGGTCCAGCTCAGGGCTCTGCACCGAGTCGGGCACGGACTCGAACGCGCTGTTCTCCTCCTCCTCGTCGTCTTGCGAGGAGAAGACGGTGCTCTCAGAGATCTTGGCGCTGTCCACGGAGGAGAAGCGCGTGTGGCTGGCGAACCTGTTGCCGTTGTAGCAGGAGGCGCTGTAGCAGGAGCTGCTGTGGCAGGACGTGCTGTAGCACGAGGAGCTGTAGCACGAGGGGCTGCAGCAGGACGCGTCGCAGCCCTCGCAGCTGTGGTCCCCGCCTTGCCGGGGGCTGGAGTCGCTCTCACTCCCGGTGCTGGGGTGCGTGTCGCCATCCGGGACCGCGCCGTTGGCGAAGCTGGGGTAGCGGCCCCCGGCGTGGCCAGGGGGCGCCGTGCCCGGAGTAGCCCCCTCGGGCTCTTCCCCATCCTCTTCCAGGACAGGCGGGTCAGCTGCTAACGTGTCCACCTCGCTGAGCCCGTCCTTCTCCGAGGAATCCTTGAGGGTGGACTCCTCCTCCGCGCCGTCCTCCTCCTCTGGGGCGACCCCGCCCCGGGCCGAGGGCATGCTGTGCAGCAGGGTGTGGATGCGGATGTAGTGTGTCCGCGGGGTCTCGGGGTCCCCGCAGGCCGACGCGATCACCGTCTCCAGCTCGGACACAGGCAAGGAGCATGGCCTGCTTTTTCTCTTCGCCGAGCCCCGCAGCTGCAGCCTGCCCGCTCCCTGCTCCAGAGTAGGCACATCGCCCTCCTCCTCCTCCTGGTCCTTCTCCTCCTCCCCTCCAGCTCGCATCTCTGTCGCCGCTTCCTCCTCCACGGGCCCCTCGGTGCTGGCTGGAGCTTCCTCGTCTTCCAGCAGCAGAGGTGGCGCCTCCCCACCCAGATCCAGCTCCTCGGCCAGTTCTTCTGCACTCGGGGCCGGCTGGGTGTCATTTTGCCCCGGGGCCAGGAGCTCCCCGGCCCCTTGAGGTCCCAGCGAGACGCTGCCATCATCTCCCGCCCGGGTGGTGCCGGCCGCTTCCTCAGCTGGCCTGGCAAGCTCCAGGCTCTGGTTCTCTGACCCGTCCAGGGCACAGCCGTCACTCAGCCGCTCTGGCTTCCAGCTCTCGGAGGGCTCTGCTGCATCACACACGGGCTCCCTACGGCTGCTCTCCACCAGGTTGTTCATGGGGCTGTCCTGAGTTTGTGCCGATTCAGGCTCGGTACTCAGGGACATCTCCTCATCATCTGCCGGCAAGAAGAAAAATATGTCATTCCTTCCAGAAGAGAGCATTGTGGTATTCATATACACTCCTGGACAGGAAGCAATCGTTCAGGGATTTCTACATTAGGATATTGGATGTAGGGGTTGATGAGGGTTTCTCACTGGCCAGAGCTCTGCTGAAAAATTCAGTAAGAATGAGTGCTCATTGTGTTAATGACAACGTGTAGTCATGGGTATATTTCAGAATTCTGTTTCAAGGGAATTCATCTTTTGGTTAAAATGCTCAAAGCCTAGCACTACTCCAGTTCTGGGCTCATAATAGGTGCTCAACAATGTTTGCTACATGGAATGAGTTCCAGAGATGCAGGTGGTGGTGTTTGTAGCTCCTTGATGATCCCTGGAAAAGTTAATTGTATTTGCTCAGAATGTTTCCTCTGGTTGGGTCCTGCAGGGTGGCAGACTGGGTCAACAGGGTTCTTAGGCAACTAGAGAGAAGAAAAAGGCTGGAAGATGGATGGGAGCAACCACAGTCACTCGATAGCTCAGGCTGGAAGGTTTCCAGCATTTGGAGTTTGTTGCAATAAAAAACCAAACTAGGGCTCCACACCAAGCAGCCATTCAAGGAATAGCATTCACTGTTTAACTCTACCTTCCTGCAGCTGTTCTATTGAATTCCTGCCAGATGCAAACTTCCCCATTTCAAATGCACTGGTGCAATTCACTAGTCAAAGAAAAACAGTCCCTTTGGTGAGCTGTAAAGCTGTCCTATGGCTTCACCAAAGAAAGAGTCAGTTTTATTCTCAGAATGCAGAAAAAGGCTGAATTTGAAAAGATAAAACAGTCAAGGTGTTTTCTTACAATCTAAGTAGTATATTGGGCATAGAAAAGTGCAACTGGAGTTTACTGTGTGGGTTGTGATAAACTTCAGATTCTGAGTCCTCAAAACCTTCATTAACTTTAACAGCAACTCATAAATGTGTCCCAGGAGGCCCTCACAATTCTCAGCATGATCTACACTCAGTGTGGGGGTTGTGGGAAAAAAGCAAAAGTGGAATGACGAGGCATCTTATCATTCTTATTTGGAAATATGTTTTGGCATGAAAAATTGAACACTGGATGACTCTGAAGTTTTATATACGATTTATATTTTTCATTTTCTCTGTGATACTATGTATAATCATAGCTCTTCAACAACATGACATTCTTCAGCAACTGACTAGTCTGTATCTAGTTACTAGGTAGAAGGAGATGTTTCACAGCCATTCCTCCCTTTGTTCATTCATGTGTGCAATGATTAAACGTCTACTGAGCACCTCCTTAGTGGGTGCTGGGAGTAGGATGACCCATAAGACAGGGCTCCATATCCACGCTGGCCTCATTGTCAACCCCCATTCCACTGTGTAACCCTCTACCTTTGGGTCACCACAGTGAAGAGGAGCCTCTCAATCAAGGGGACAGCAATCTGGCTTCCAGACTAGATCTCTGTCTTCCGGGCCTCAAATGGAGAAGACAGAGAACCACAAAACCTAGGACATGTCTGGAGAGAACCATGGTTATTGTATTTTGGGGAAGGAACCGCACTATGATACCACCCTAGGACAAGACATGAAGTTCATGCTGAAAATACCTGGGTGAATGGAGGAAGTGATCTCAAATCGGAATTGCAGCTGTCCACTCACATGATCTGTTGGAAGCCTGCGGCCAAGTGTGTAGCTGACCACCCTATCCCTGGAAGGAAATAAGTACCATCACAGATCTGCTCAATACTTGTCCTCTTAATGACCACGCAGTGTGCTTTCTATGCCAGTGGCAGAGGCAGGCAAGCCCAGGGAGGTCCTGAGAATAGGAGGTGATGATCGGCTCAGGTACATAGGAGACCATCCTAAGGTGGAGACGGGAAAGCACACGTGCTCAGCAGCAATACAAAACTGTAAGGAAATCCATATTGAATACGGATGCTCCTCGACCTATGGTGGGGTTACGTTTTGACAAACCCATGGTAAGTTGAAAACATAGTTAAGTCAAAAATGCACTTGATACACATAATTTACTGAATATCATAGCTGAGCCTAACCTACTCTAAACGTGCTTGGAACACTTACATTAGCCTATGGGTGGACAAAATCATCTAACACAAAGCCTGTCTTATAATAAAGTGCTCAATATCTCATGCAGTTTATGGAATATGGTACACTGTAGAGTACGGTATCGGTTGTTTATCCTCGTGATCGTGTGGCTGGCTGGGAGCTGTGGGTCTCTGCTGCTGCCCAGCATCACAAAACAGCATGGCATAGCATAAAGTTAGCCCAGGAAAAGATCAAAATTCAAAATTTGAAGTATGGTTTCTACTGGATTCCTATCACTTTTGTGCCATTGTTAAGTAAAAAAATTCTTAAGTTGAACCATTGTAAGTCCGCGACTGTCTGTGTTCTAAAGCGGTAGCAGGCAAACTACAGCCCCCGGGCCAAATCCGGCCCACCCACCACCTGTTTTTGTATGGCTGCGAACTTTTTACAAATGGTTGGAAAAAGAAACAAAAGAAGAGTAATACTTTGTGGCATGTAAAAATTATATAAAATTCAAATTCCAGTGTCCATAAATAAAGTTTTATTGGAGTGCAGCCTTGCTTATTAGCTCACATATTGTCTGTGGCTACTTTCGTGCGACAATGGCAGAGGTGAGTAGTTTGGACAGAGACTGTGTGGCCCACAAACCTAAAATATTTACTACCTGGCCCTTTATAGAAAGTTTGCCAACACAGTTTGCCAATCTGTGTTCTAAAGCACAGGGAGAGATAGAGAGAGAGAAGAGAATAAATAAAGACACGGATGTCCTTGGCTCGCTTCTTCTATGTAGATTGCCATTCTCCAAATATGCCGTTAACGATGGACAGTGCCAGCAGATGCATATCTGTGGTACACATGTCACGTCCAAGAAAGGACACTGTCATGGTTACTGGAGGGCCCGTGGGTGCTATAGGAAAGCATTTGCTGCAGGACGGAACAGAGCAAGACTCGTGGGCTGGCTTCTCTAGCCTGTGACTTCCAATTAACACCAACTGCAAGGCTCCCACACATAAAGACCCTGAGTCTCCACCCTGGACACTGGAGCCATTCCCTCTACCCACTCAAAGCAATTGTTTTTTCCTTTTTTGTAGAGACAGGGTCGCTTTGTTGCCAAGGCTGGTCTTGAACTCCTGGCCTCAAGTGAACCTCCTGCCTCTGCCTCCTAAAATGCTGGGATTATAGGTGTGAGTCACTGCTGCTGGCCTCAAAGCAATTTCTTAATTACTAAAAAGAAAACTATCCAGCGGGCATCAACCTGAAGCTTTGCGGTTACATTTTCATCAATAATATAGCTTTAGCAGAGTAAATTGTCCTCTATGCCTTGGTCTAAATAGGAGTGACTACCTTGGGCTTTTCTGGAATTAACAAATCCAGTGTACCCAATAATAGCAAAAACATATCCCCAAACCAGTTTTTATGCAGATGACTCTCTATTTACTCCATTTATTAAGTTATGACATTCAAATCAAAAGATAAATTACTGGTTGGTAGTGTTTTAATGTTTCTTTCTAGAGAACACTGGCAATGTGAAACAAACAAAATTATATCCCAATGATCCACTAACATAATACAGGGTGTCCCAAAAGTCGCCATACCTGGGACACCCTGTTTTGTTCTTTGATAAGCCATAATTCAGTGTTTGGAGTTTCCCTGAAGGCCACTAAATAAAGCATTATATGAGGAAAGCATTTTGTCCATTGAGAAAGGGCCTTGCTCAGTATTATGAAGTAGGCCTGCCATGACCATAAGAAAGACATCCTGAACCCCAAACTTGATTGAAATCAGGGGAGGCTTAAAGACGATCAGATAGTGAAAGAAAAACTAAATTTATTGTGCTTTGTATTTGTTTTCCAGGCTTTTTTTTACTTTGCTTTTCACTCACTTAATCAACAAATATTTTGGGAGCCCCTGCCATGTAAAACGTGCTGCGGTTGGTACAAACGGGCAGCAGGCGAAGTCAGGGTTAGAGGCAGAGAGCCAGCTGAAGGCTGGGATGTTACAGGCAAAGGAATCGAGGGAGCACTGGGAACAAGAGTGCGTGTGTTTCTGCAGAGGAAAGGTGCAAATATCTGAGGGTGGACAGGCAGCCGGTGCAGGAGGTTTGCAAAGCAATGGGTGCAGGGGCTGTATGGGGTGTGCATTTGCTGAGGGCAGAGGGAAGCTGGATTTGCACTCTGGGGTTCTGCCATGGCCCAGGCTGCATGGCCACTGCTTCCATGGCCATCACCCGAACACCCTGCTCCTACTTGCGTTGGGACACCTCCAGAAGGGGCAGCATTGCCGAAGTGGCCTCCAGAGGCCTTGGCAAGCAGCAGGCTTTGGAGGAGCCACTCTGTCCAGCCACCAGGGGCCTGTCTGTCATCCCATGGGAGAAGGGGAGAGGAGACTTGCTCTTAGAGAAGTTGACGCTCAATACACTCCATCTGTGCTCTCCATTTCCCTGAGTGGTAAGAACACTGGGAGAATCATAGCTGACCTTCTGGTAGGTGACACCTGTTCGACCTCAGTTACTTGCCTTCACCACCTGTGGATGTGCCTTTCCACAGGAGGCGGCTGGGAGGGTGGGAAAATTACAAAAAGAAATGAACCTGCAGCTTCGGCTTAAGAAAAGTTCTTAACGTGGGAGAGCAGACGGCTTCTCCCTGAGGCTGTGGCAAGCAGGAGAGCACTGAGTATCTAACCCGCAGTGGGCAGCAGTGTGCTGGGTGCGGGGGTGCACAGAGCCCTGCCCGGCCCCTTTTTTTGTCCTTCAGCCCACCCCCTGGCAGAGGTGTTAACAGCCATGAGAGAAGAGGAATGGAAAGCGAGAGAGTCACTACCGGGAACCCTGCGAGGAGCCTGTCATTCAGGGGGCAGCACTCAGCTTTGGAGGGAGGCAGGTGGGAGGGAGGTGGGCGGGTGTCTGAACTCCAGCTGCATCTCTGTCTCTTAAAGGTAATTATTCATCCTTTCTAAGCCTTGTGTCCTCATAGGGAGGCGCAGAGATAATGCTGAGTTGCGGAAGTGTCGTGAGGACTAAATGAGATAACAAAGGTCACGTCACAAGGAATACCATTCGCTTCTGAGTTCCTACCACGTGCCAGCGCCTGTGCCAGGTTGTTTACGGACACTTTTTGTCTGTCTGTTGAGTCCTCACAGCCACGAGTGGAAAGCGCAAACACGGAGTCTGACACATGGCTGTAGCGCCATGAACGTTGGCTCCCTTTGGCTGGAGCGTTAACGGCATGTCTACGTGCGCACAGTGGCACGGATGCTATAAGGTCCCGATTAAATGTCCTTATGATAATCATTAGCGATTCCAAAGTCCTTCCGAAAATTCAAAGAACTTTAAGACACTTGGAAATTCTCATTCCTTTGATATCATTCTAAGGGTTAGATTGCATGTAAGCATATGTTTATGAACAGAGAGCTATACCTAGTGTTTTCAAATAAAGGTTGCTGTTTACCAGGGAAAAACGTATTATTCATAAGAATTTTATCTGGTCATAGTCCACGTGAGTGAGAACCATGAGTGGACATGAATGTAAAAGAGACGAAACGCAGGAACATTGTCATACACGATTGAATTCTGTGGGCAACGTAACAGCTGTCATTTCATGAGAATTTATGCTTTCAAATTTTCATCCATATTATCCAGCATTTTCTGTAAATATTAGCGTCTTTGAAGATACTCTACCCTAGTAACCCAGCATTTCATCTTGTTATGGAAATGTTGTTAAATCCCACATATGAGACACGCATATGAATGAAATAATATTCTTCATAGTAAAACAAACTTTAGTTTTTACATGTACAGAAAAATACAGCACTGATGGCTTTTTTTAATACTGTCTTAGGATTTTTTACTCTCTGGCCTAAGTGACCAGTTGATACACAAACAAGGGGAATGGGAAGGTTTGTTTAGTTGAATGTTGTGGCTTGGGCAACGTCGTTAATGGGAGAAGCCAAGGAAATATAAGAACACCATTTTTGTTTGACTGTCTGTGAGACTACACTACTGCGGCTTCCCCCAGGCGTGGCCTGTTGGCTGAAACCTGGTGATAGTGAGATCTCAGGCACAAGTTTACCCTATGGCGTGTCTCTCCAGGAGTCTCTGAACAGGCATCGACAGCTTTCCCAAGAAGCGCTTGATGATAGGACGGCTCTTGGCAAACTTGTCCTTCACCTCAATTTCCAGCACGTCAGTGGGCAAGGACACAAAGCTGAATTGCTGCAATGAAAGAACATGTGACATCAATTAACTGAGAGGTGCCAGAGCTGCCCAATTCCCAGTCCGTCCACCTTCATGACCCACCCCAGCCGCATGTGCTCTGTCTCAATCTCTCTCTCGCTCTCTCTCTCTCTCAAGGTCTTAGAAATGCTGCAAGCCCTTGTTTATTCAGTAAATGAGGGGCAATAAAAAGATGCTTCCTTAGGGCTTAAAAATAGGGTTATTCTTTGAGATTCAAACAATAAAATCAGAATAACTTATAAAGAAAGAGACACCTGCACCCGAATGTCTATAGTAGCACAGTTCACAATTGCAAAGATGTGGAAACAACCCAAGTGTCCATCAATACATGAGTGGATTAATAAAATGTGGTATATGTATACCATAGAGTACTATTCAGCTTTAAGAAACAATGGTGATATAGCACCTCTTGTATACTCCTGGATAGAGCTGGGACGCATTCTACCAAGTCAGGTATCCCAAGAATGGAAAGACAAGCACCGCATGTACTCCCCATCAAATTAGTATTAACTGATCAACACATAAGTGCACATGTAAGAATAACATCTATTGGATGTTGGGCAGGGGGAGGGAGGAGGGGGGAGGAGGGAGGAGGGGACGGGTATATGCATACACAAAGAGTGCAATGTGCACCACCCGAAGGATGGACATATTTGAAACTCGGACTTCAGGGGGAGGCGGCAAGGGCAACATATGTAACCTAAACATCTGTACCCCCATAATATGCTGAAATAAAAAAAAAAAAAAAAGAAAGAATGCCACCCAGGCCTCACCATACTTGACTAAAGTTTTATCATACTAAGAACAAGCACAAACTCACGTATAATTAATGAGTGCACTTTCAATCAACAATGCAATATATTCTTTCCTTATTATAATGGCAGACATTTTTAAAAGTCTGATAATAACGCACGTTCTTCAGAGCGGGAAAAGACAAGAACTCTCACACTGTATTGGTGGGAATGTAAATTGATTTGACCTTTGGGAAGGGAATTAGCAGTAGTTATTGGCATTTAAACTGCAAATTCTCTTCAACCCAGAATTCTACTTCTAGGAATTTTCCTTCTGGATTAACTTGCACAAATGTGCAAAAGATACGTTTTACAAGGATGTTCATTGGACAAAAGAATGGAGAAAAGCAAACCTGTCTACCAATAGGAAACCAGTTGTATGGCTGGCCAAAAGACCCCCACAGGCACAGCAATGACAGCCCCGGGCCCCTTCCCTGTTGGCTTGCAGCCGGGGCCAGGCCACATCCTGTTATGACTGGCAAGAACAGCTACGCTGGCTGAGCACCCTGAGCTCGGTTTCCTGCTCTACCCAGCTGCTGCAGGCAAAGCTCTCGGACTTCAAACGACCACATCCTACCTGAATGTTCCAAGACCCCCTTTTTCGCCCCACATATAAAAACCCTACCTCAGTCCCCGGCGGTGCGACTTCTCAGGCCCTGACCTTAGGACCGGTAAACCTTGCCCAGGAGCACTTTAATAAAGCCACTTGTTTGGCCGTAACTTGTGTCCACTGGTCTCTCTGCCACCGAAAACCTTACGTTTGGTGCCGAAACCAGGAAAGGTCGAGTGGCGCCGCCAAGACCGTGGTCTCGGGGCAGCGCCCCCCTCTTCCGCGGACCTTCTGGACAAGGATCTTCGGCCATGCCTCAGGTCCCTGATTCTCTCTCGGCCTGGGTGAGTCACCCTGTGTTATCTCAACCCGAATCCCCCACCAGGAGTCTCTGTTCCCCCTCCACTGGATCCTGTTCTGGTCCGTTAAGCCGCGGGCCCACGTCAGAGGCTCTCCCGATCCGGGGCTTAAGATTATTTGGGGATGCCTGAATTTCTCTCTCCCCCTTTCCGTTCCGGCGCTCTAGTCTTGGGGAGACGTCCCCAGACTTCTGTGGCCTCCGTAGTCAGGAAACTGTTCCTGTCTGTTTCCCCCATTTGGGTTGGGGCATCATGGGCAGCCAACCTTCCAAAATTCCGTGGTAGACTCCCCTGGGATGTCTCCTGGCTAACCTGACTGTCCTGGGCCTCAGGCCCGATATCCGGCCCAAGAGCCTTATTTTCTTTTACAAAACCGTTTAGCCTATATATAAATTGGACAATGGCTCCCAGTGGCCTAGAAACGGGACTTTCAATTTCAATATCTTACAAGACCTTGATAACTTCTGCCACAAAAGCGGCAAATGGTCCGAAATTCCTTACGTCCAGACATTTTTCTACCTTCGCTCCTGCCCCTCTCTTTGCCAGGCCTGCAACCTGGCCCAGGTCCTCCTGGCCCGGACCCAACCGTCCCCAGTCTCCCCTCTTCCGGCTCCTACCCTGCTACCCTCCAAAACCCCCTCTGCCTTTTCCGATCCTCCTGACTCTCTCGTCTCTCCCCCTCCTCGGCCCCCACCTTATCCCGGCCATGGTCCCAAATCCCCGTCGCTACCGGCTTCCCCGGTCAGCCATCACACACGCTCACATGGCAACCCTCTGGGCCTGGCCCTCCTGTGCCCGCTCTGCGAGGTCGCTGGGGCTGAAGGGGTTGTTCGGGTCCATATTCCCTTCTCTCTCTCCGATCTCTCTCAGATTAAAAAGCGCCTAGGATCCTTTTCCAATAACCCTACTGCTTACACCAAAAAATTCTGATATCTCACTCAGGCCTATGACCTCACTTGACATGATATCTTTGTTATCCTTTCTTCCACCCTGACTACTGACAAAAAGGAACGGATCTGGACAGCTGCCCAGGGCCATGCCGACCAGGTCCACCTCACTGATCGCACCATGCCACCAGGTGTGGAGGCTGTTCCCCAAAATAAACCAGAATGAAACTATCAGCCAGACACCCAGGCAGGCCAGGAAGGCAGGAGATGGCAAGACCGCATACTGCAGTGCGTCCTTGCTGGGCTCCAGGCCGCTGCCCATCGCGCAGTCAATTATGACAAGCTGAGGGAGGTCACTCAGAGGGCAGATAAAAACCCGGCTGCCTTTCTCAGTCACCTAACCAATGCCCTTGTCCAATACACCCGCCTAGACCCCACCTCAGTGGCTGGGGCCACGGTCCTGGCAACCCACTTTATCACTCAGTCCTCTTCCGATATCCAAAAAAAGCTCAAAAAGGTGGATGAGGGCCCTCAGACCCTACTTGGTGACCTGGTAAATGTGGCATTTAAGGTTTTTAATTCTCATAATGACCAGGCAGAGGTCCAAAAGAAAGCCCACGCTCGCCAGAAGGCTCACTTGCAGGCCCAGGCCTTGGCTGCAGCTCTGTGGCTGGCAGGAGTCGGTGGTCCGGAAAGACCTGCAATGCCGGCTAGACCCTCTGGGGCCACCCCTCCCGGCAAGTGCTTCAAGTGTGGCAAAGAGGGCCACTGGGCCAAATACTGCCCGCAGCCACGGCCACCCACTAAGCCATGTGGTCAAGAGGGATACTGGAAAAGTGACTGCCCCTCTGGCCCAGGGTCCGGAGAGTCAGCCCTTCCATCCCTGGACCTGCTGATGACAATGTTGGGCTTGGCTGCCAACAACTGACAAGACCTCGACTCGATGACCCCGATCACCCTTGCCGAGTCCGGGATAAAAATCAAGATAGCGGGTAAAGCAGTGTCCTTCTTAGTCGACACGGGGGCTCCCTACTCTGTCCTGTCCACTTTCTCTGGTCCCACTTATCCTTCCCAGGTCTCCGTCTTGGGGATTGACGGCCACCTGTCCTTTCCTCACACAACTGGGCCGGTGACATGCCTGCTCGATGGGCACCCCATCACACACTCTTTCCTTACAGTGCCTACGTGTCCCACTCCTCTTTTAGAGCGTGACATACTAGCCAAGATAGGGACTACGCTTAGCTTCTCTTCGGGACCCGCTTCCCTACTAATACTCTCTTTATTGCCCGCTACATGTGGTTACCAAGGCGATTCCCCTCCACTCCTGCTGCCTGTTCAGAAAGTGGACCCCCGGGTGTGAGACACCTCCACTCCCACTGTTGCCTCTCACCACACCCCCATCCTTTTCCAGCTCAAGGACCCATTCTCTCTCCCTTCACGACCTCAGATTCCCATATCGCCTGCACACCTCAGAGGTCTCAAGTCCATCACTGACCGCCTTTTACAGTCAGGCCTCCTTGTTCCCACTAACTCCCCCTACAATACCCCAATCCTGCCTGTTAAAAAGCCAAGTGGCTCGTACCACCTGGTCCAAGGCCTCAGGCTCATCAACGAGGCAGTCATTCTGATACACCCTGTAGTCCCGAACCCTTACACCCTGCTGTCTCATATACCATCTTCCACTACTCACTTTTCTGTCCTGGACCTCAAAGATGCCTTCTTTACTATCCCCTCAGACCCAGCCAGCTACAATCTCTTTGCCTTTACGTGAAAAGATCCTGACACAAACACATCCAGACAACTCACTTGGACTGTCCTGCCCGGGGTTTCAGGACAGTCCCCATCTATTTGGTCAGGCTCTGGCCCAGGACCTACTCCAATGTCCCTTACAACCTAGCACCGTCCTCCAAAACGTTGATGATCTACTACTCTGCAGTCCCTCTCTACGACACTCCAAGACTCACACTTCCTCTCTACTCAACTTTCTTACCTCTAAGGGATATCAGGTATCCCCCTCTAAGGCTCAGCTGTCTACACCCACTGTCATTTACCTTAGACTTCGTCTCACCCCCACGTCCTGTCATCTCACTATTAATCACCAGCAGGCTCTTCATGACCTTCAGCCACCCACCACTGCCGAGCAGATTCTGTCCTTCCTTGGGTTTGTCGGTTTCTTCTGACACTGGATCCCCAACTTCTCTTTCCTTACCAAACCCCTCTGTCTGTCTAGCCCAGTCTCCTTCCCTCAACCTGGCTACATTACTCCCTATTCCTAGCCTGGAGCTAGGCACACATCATTGTCTGGAGCTGGTCAACGCCTTGAAAGCGCCCAGACCAGGCCTCTTTGATCAACCCCTGATACAGATCTCGCCCTATTTGTCAATGATAACTC